TACCTTACTTCAGAAGTGTCTTAGCTAATTAAAGAATCTACTACACAGAGCAATCAAAATGCTAAATAATTTATTCCTTCCAACAAAGCAATCGATAACCAGTATGAGATATTATGTTAAATCTTTTTAATGACTTTTAGAAACATTTTTTCTGATTTCTTTTAAATTCTTTCACATTCCCAAAGTGGTATCCCTTTTACTATATAGTAAAGCTTTGTTTTCCTTTAAAACAATCAACAATAATTCTAATGCAGATGGTGAGTACTCACCCAGAAGTGAGGCATTGCTCTTAAAGCTACTTGGTGTGTCTTTTTTTATTTTTAAGACTAAAATATTGACCTTTTTGTGTTAGGTTTACAAAACTTACTGTTCTGTCCACCAATCATCTGTGTAATATGCGTTTGCACATAGTATATTTTTTACAACAAAGAAAATGTAAATGAAATTATGTGATCTGTGCCTAATGTTTTCTTAGCACAATATATAGATCAATGTTGCTTAAGTCACCAACATAGGGAAAAAATATACAAAAACTTATTTTAATGAAAAAAATACTTTTGTGTAGCTGTTATTTAGATATTTATATTAAACCAAGCCGTATTCTTAGTGCTGCTGAGAATATAATATACTTAATTATGAAATACAGGTGACAGCTTTCAGTATTTTCTTTTGTAATGATCTGTTTTCATATTCAAAGTTTAAATTAGCTTATTTTTTAGTGTGCTACATGGAATTGTGTAATAAATTGTCAGAGGTTTAGATGTAGCAAAATGGCATTTGGGAATTAGTAGTGAAGCAGGTCTGAGTGGTAAAACATCTAAATCTTACTTTTTTTAACCATAATTTTCCTGCCTGATAGATATTTTAAATTTTATATCAAACTACTACTGAGTATTTTTCTTCTCAGCATTTTTGATTTGTTTGTTTTATGAAATGCATTAATGAATGTGCCTACGGAAGCCAACCATGTTGCACACTGGTGGTTTGACTTCATAGGCCCTTTAGTGGAAATGTCATCATTCTATTGAGGTTGTTCTGAAACCCTGTATACTTTTTAAAATGTAAGAAAGGTTTAAAGTAAATAATAAAATAGTATTCTATATATCAAAATCAGACTTTGCTCCAGTTTAATAAAATACTTAACTTGGAACAAGAGTTTACTTGTTTGGGATCAAAATTTAACTGTTTTATATTTCTGTGGTTTGGGTTGCTTACATTAATTCTTGTCCCCAGTTTGCAATTGGCATCTTGGAAAAGTTGAAATGCACATTTTAAGTTTAGATCAGTTCAATGAAACATGATACTATAACTTTTCAGTGGTCATAAATAGGACCTTCAATATGTATTATTTGAGAACAAACACATTTTGATTCCTTAAGTTTGGAGTGTACATATAGTTAGAAAAGACTCAGTAGATGACCTGTATAGGAACCATGAGGTCATGTTTATTGCATTTTCCTCTTCTAGCTTTTTCTCATAATAATTCTAACAACAGTTATGCGCCAGGCACCGTGTTAACTTTTACATATGACATTTAATCCTACTATGACTCTTTGAGATAGCTACTGTTATTCCCATTATAGAGAGGAGGAAACTAGAGAAAAGTGACTTATCCAAGGTCACTCAATAAAGTCAGTGTCAGAAGTTCAGTAACACCCAGTTGTCCTGGAGCCAAAGCCTGCACACTTAATCACTATACATACTCCCCCCCCCCCCAAAAAGCACCTTCAAACCTTTGTACCTCTTTCATACAAAAATTCTCTTTCTTTTTTTCTCACCTGAATCTTTTGCTTCACTTCTTTTTCTGTTCTGGTGATATCTTTTTTCTTGATCTTACAAATCTCTTTGATGAAAACAGCAATTTTAATAAGCCCAAACTTGCCAGGTTAGTCTATAATCTGTAATCTATAATCAAGCTATTTTTTAAAATAGTAAAAGTGAAGCCCCAGGCATGGCATTTCCTTGACATTACTTTTGTTCATTTTTGTTAAGTTTTCCTTGAATAGTTTTTTAAAATCTCTATAAATTTCTTATTGAAAGAGAATTTTTTTTGAAGAAGAGTAGAAATGGAAGTCTTTATTGTAGCCTGAAAGGGGAGCCACTATGAGGCAAGTTTTAGGTTTAGAATCTCTATTTGTTGTAATGTTTCCTGTGTAACTCTAGGGTAAGCCACTTAACTTTCTTTTGACATAGTTTAATATGTGTAATATTATAGAATAAGGTAATACTTATTTTGAAACAACTCTGTCTTTTTCAGAATAATGCATTTTAAGAACAGGAAGCATAGCCGTTATTCTCATCATTATATAGTGTTCTGTGATAATTATCCAATTTGGTTATAAATGACAGAATATATAATTTATTATGTGAGTGTAGACATAAATGACGTTGTTGTGTTAAAGGACTGTGCTCTGTCTTTCCCCACCCTGAAAACTAATTATATATATATATACATAAGTGTGTGGTAAACAAGTAAAGAAGAACAAGATGTGGAGAAGTGCTATGTAACATGCTGAGCATAGCATCACTTGTGTTCAGGTAGAAGCACCGGCAGTGCACGGGAGCCTATGTTACTGTGGATGCTCTAATTTGATGTTTTAGGTTCCAACAGTTGACCTTTTCTCTGAGCAAAACTATTGTAAGATTAAGAAGGTTATGTAGAGCCGAAACCGGTTTGGCTCAGTGGATAGAGCGTCGGCCTGTGGACAGAGAGGTCCCAGGTTCGATTCCGGTCAAGGGCATGTACCTGGGTTGCGGGCACATCCCCAGTAGGAGATGTGCAGGAGGCAGCTGATCGATGTATCTCTCTCATCGATGTTTCTGGCTCTCTATCTCTCTCCCTTCCTCTTTGTGAAAAATCAATAAAATATATTTTAAAAAAAAAGAAGGTTATGTAGAAAGTGGCATATTCTGCAACCAAGTATATAGACATCAGGGAAAACAAAATGACCAGTGTTTCTTGGAAATGAAAGTTTTATCCAGTGCTAGTTTTGCTCTATAATTTAAAATATTCATAACTTTTTAAAAAATAGTAAAAGTGGGCATCTTTTAAAATATTAAGTGATGTGATTAGGTATTTCTTTATTAATATTTTATTTACAATTTATTTTTACAATGAGCATTTACTTTTTTAATAATTAGGAAGAGAAAATAGTTTTAATAAAAATAATGCTGTCTATTTAAAAAATATTTTGACATTTCACTGAACAGTTTTTTTTCTTTCTATAAGTAACATTATACAGTTTTGTCTTAAAAATATTTTGCTTTGGTGATAGTTTATATGATTTTCATAATATTTGTTATTTTAGATAGTTTTTCAGAGAAATTTGATGACCTTCTACTTATGATATTAGATGTTCTTATTTTTGCTTCAACACAATTGGTTTGAAGTGTTATTTGCTGAATTTGAAATGGATATCAATCACTGTAAGGTTTTTTTATGCACCACTGATGACACCTTCTAGCATTTTTTCCCACATCTTTAACCAGAGGATGTCCCTGCATTTCATAGATTGGCAGGATTCTATTTTCAGTCCCCCTATCTAAAAAGGTCATATCTATAACTTTTTAATGCTAATTTTATTCTATTCTTATATATGTTTAGAGGCCCAGTGCACAAATTTGTGCACATTGAAAGGAAATTAATTAGAAGGTGGCTGGAGGGGTGGGACTGGGCGAATCCGGCCAGACATGCCCTAGAGCCAACCTCCTACGGTCCCTCTACAGCTAGCTGCACCTGGTGTAGCCAGGGCTCGAAGGGCATCTGCAGAGTGAGCGGGGTCCCTCTGGCAGGTGGGGTTCCTCGGCCTGGCCTGCAGGGACCAGGCCAAAACCGGCAGTCTGACATCCCCCAAGGGGTCTCAAATTGTGGGAGGGCGCAGGCCAGGACTTGGGACCCACCAGTGCATTTGTGCTCTGGGCCTCTAGTATGCATATAAGACTTTTGGTTAATCTCTTCCCTCCCTCTCTCCTCCCCTCTTCCCTCTGAGATTCATTAGTCTGTTCCATGTTTCCATGCCTATGGTTTCCGCTCTTGTGTTGAGTGTCTGCTCCCTGGTGGTCAGTGTGCGTCATAGCTACCAGCCGGTCAGCTAGTCAGCCGGTCACTTAGGCTTTTACTAGTATATATGTATACTAGTAGATTGCCCATGAAGGTGAAAATAACACAGTAATAAATCTAGCAAGTGTCTGGTGTGTCTGATAGATATTAAACATAAAACACATATAGGATATCAGTACCTTCACCATAGCAAATGGGACCATATTAATTTTTGAGATTCTAAAATTTATAGATGATAAATATCAAGAAACATAGCACATAGAGTAAGATTTATTGAATGGTAGTATTTGCTAAAATTCTAAAACTTTCCCAAATGCTACTTTATTCAAGAGAAATCACTTTTATCTTTGACTTTAAATATTTGACTCCAATTTTATTTTATGTTTTCTACTTAAGCAAGTGTAAATATGGTTGATGCCAGTTAAAAGTGCCCGAATAAACTTTATAAATTCAAAGTTGTGGCATTATTTTAGTTGAGAGGCCCCCACAAACACAAAATCAAGTATAAATGTATATAGCCTGTTCATTCAAATTCAAAATATAGCCCTGGCCAGTGTGGCTCAGTTGTTTGGGCATTGTCCCATGCACCAAAAGGTTGCTGGTTTGATTCAGGGTCAAGGCACATGCCCAGGTTATGGGTTTGGTCCCCAATAGGGGGCATCTAGGAGGCAGTGGATGGATGATTCTCTCTCATGTTAATGCTTTTATCTCTTCCTCTCTCTAAAAACCAATAAAATATCTTTAGAAAAAAATGTCAGACTATATCTTTGAATGCAGTGCAGACTGTAGCAAGTGGTGACCAGTGTTTTGTCTGAGGTTATGCTTGTCACAAACGATTGATCATGGATATACTCAGTGTAAAATACAATTTTAAAGCACTTATGTTCATAATAGAGT